CTCAGCGGGTTTTCCTGGCCCTTCCTGCTTTCTTCTTAGTTAGGATTTCCTTGTTCGTCTATCTAGCCGGGCTTGGGTTTCTTTTCTTTGAGGCGAGATGTGCGGTTGGCTCCATACCAGAGGGGCTTGGGGGGTTGGCTTTTTCCTGTGGTGAGAGGAGGGATGTGGGTTTTTTGTCGTCATAGCTAGCGCTCCATACGTTTTTTGTACCCTAAACAAATAATCAATGAGTTAAACAAAAATCCTTAGCTTTCAGAACTATCAGCGAACGGAGAAGAGATCTTATCAATATATTCGTTATACTTTGATACATACTTTTGTTACGAGCTTTCTTGACCACTCTCCGAGAAACCTTATTGGCCCCAGTCACAATTCATAAGACTTAGGATTGGCTGCCGCCTAACACTCCCCTTATAGCTGTCTTCTAGTGAGATGGAAAAACCTTAAGCCCATGAGGCCCCATTGTCTAGACCTCCAGTGGGACACCGAATAATTACCTTGGCTTATGATGGTTGCCCCTTCATTGACTTGTTACCTCGCAGGTAGACTCTGACTTGATGTCAGAAACCTTCTTTAAACCTTACCTTTCAGCCATCTCCTAGTGAGATGGAAGAACCTTAAGCCTATGAACTTGAAGCCCCCTTGTTTAGACCTCCCGTAGAATATGGGACCTCAGTATAGACCTTAGTGGTGGGATACCAGTTCTGATGCCTAGACCTCTGGTAGGATACCAGACCTCAGTATAGACCTCAGTAGTGGGATACCAGTCCTGATGTCTAGACCTCCAGTGGGATACTGGACCTCAGTATAGACCTTAGCAGTAGGATATCAGTCTTGATATATAGACCTCCAGTGGGATATCGGGTCCTCTGGGACCTTGCTCTTTGGCCGTATACCAATAAGCTGAATTTACCTTAGATACCAAGGACCTCTGTCTAGACCTCTGAGGGGATACCAGGAACCTGTCATATAGACCATTGGTGGGATGCCAAATCTGTTCATATCTCCGAAGCCTGACCGTGATGTGCTTGGGACTATCTTCCCAGACCTTTTCCATTACATAGTCCTCTATAGGATCCTTCTAGGTCCCCAGATAGTTGGAAATACTGGAGAGAGTCATGGGTACATGGTTACTAGTATGGACTACCTCGAGACCTCGAGGATTCCTGTTACTCAGTCTACCAAACAGGTAAAATATTATAGTTTAATTTAATCTCTTGTTCATAGACTCAAGACCATGATAATATAATCTAATCTCTCTTATTACCCCTAGAAATTGATGGTTTATATCAAAAATTCTGATTTGTTTAATTATATAATATAATGTTAGAAAGAAGATATAACTGTTAAAGAAAAGAAAATAACTAAAAGTGAACTTTAACCACTTCCTCTCTCATATTCCAATTGCCAACTTCAATTCCCTTTTGAATAATAAATTCCTGTTCTATCTACTTTCTTATTATCTCTTGATAGCATACTCAATTTTTTCCTCCTCCTTCTGCAATATAAATCTTATCAACTTTGTAATAAAACTTCAAGATATACAATATTCTGAGTAGAGTGTCCATGATCAGCAAGCTGTAAAACTTTTAAACCTTGCAGAGTAGTAACTCGAGAAAGTGCAACATAAAGTTGCCCATGTATAAAGACTGGCTCACGCAGATCAATCCCAACTACATCCAGTGATTGTCCTTGAGGCTTATTTACTGTCATAGCAAATGATAAACGAATTGGAAATTATTTACAGGTAAGTATGAAAGGAAGTTCACCTTCAGTTGTTGAAAGAGTAATCCGAGGGATAACCTTAACTGCTCCATCAAAATCACCTCCTAGTATTCGTACCTCAATACACCATCTTTCTAGTCTAGTAATAGTCATTCGTGTTCCATTACAGAGACCCTCTTTAGGATAAAGATTGCGTAGCAAAATAACTGGTACACCAACTTTAAGTTTAAGTTTTGATGGTGGAAGTGAGGCAAGGTTAAGGCTTTGAAGGTATTCAACTGGCAATACATTTCCACCTTCATCCCCACCAATACTCTCTGCATGGTCAATTGAAAAGTATTTATGCTCGGGTCCAGGAATCTCTTGAAGTACCTTCTCATTGATTGAAGATACTGTATCATTCTGCATTGCTAAAATTGCACGTCATGTAAAGGTAGCAGAGTTGTAATGAGCTGTCTGTAACAGCTCTCGTGGAAAAACATGTCTACACAGTTCATCTAATGTATTACATAGTGGTATGAACTCTGGCAGAGAAATAGTACCTTAACACTCAGATAAGTAGGACATAGTGGAATGAATTCTGAAAGAGAGATAGTACCTTGATACTCAGGTGAGTAGGACATATGAGATAACCAAGTTGCAAACTCTTAGTCATCATTTCTGTTTCTGACCCACATATTTTGATGTAATAAAAGGATTTTCAACTTTGGCCAAATAAATGATCTTCTCAAGCAGGCCTCTACAGTAGTACCTCGATTACCCTTTCGAACTACAGGAAGAATTTGTGCAAAGTCTCCTCCTAAAACAATTGGAATATTACCAAATAAACAATTTTCTCCTACACCACATATGTCATTCAGTGTACGACTAACAGCTTCAAAGCAGTATTTGTGTTGCATTGGAACTTCATCCCAAATGATCAAGGATGTTTCTTTAATTAATGCAGCAAGTGAGGAATTCCGAGAAATAGCACATGTAGAGGATTCATTTATTATAATAGGTATTTTAAACCTTGAGTGCGATGTTCTTCCACCAGGTAATAGTAATGATGCTATACCTGAGGAAGCTACACAGAGAACTATCTTCCTCTGGGAACGAAAGTAGCTGCATAAAACCTTATACAGAAAGGTTTTACCTGTACCAGCAGGACCATGTAAAAAGTAACTTGAGGTTAATCCAGCAGCAATGGAATATAAAATTGATGTATAGGCATTATGTTGACCTTCATTAAGTTGTGCAAGGGTATGATCATGTTGGGAAATCTCCTGTATTGGATCATAATTCAGTTCTGTTGCTATTAACTGATTACCTGCAGTTCTATGCCAATTATATTCATAACTTGTTAGTCCAAAGTCATGTAATTTCTTTCCTGACTCTGCAAGAATTTGAGAGATAAGGTAAAGGCCATAATCAAAATGTAGAGAAGGTAGATTTTGAGAAGTAATTAGAATAGAAGTATGCTCTAATGTATATATTAGATCATCACAAATGCTAGAACGAAACTGCTCCCAAAGCTTTTAAGGATCTGTAATAGAACCAAAAAGCAAACCTGTTGTAAACAGAATTCTTAAAGATCTGCCACTTGCAAAATGAATTGCTTCATTGAAGCACCATATCCATTCCTTATCATCTTCAAGCAGGCCACATGCAATGCAGGCATGTTTAAATGTAGTATGTGTAACACCTTGTACTGTACGTAAATGCTCATATGACTGAGCTCCTGGGATAATTGTTAATAAAAGTCGAAGATAGTACTTTTCTCCCATAATTGGAGTACAGTAGTATATTTGTCCAATTGAAACTCCTGATTTCCTTGGTGACCATACTCGCATAGATCTATCATAGGTATAATATGTTGGAAAATCCTGATAAAGGTATTTGTAGCCATCAGAATGCAAGGTATTGTATTGAAAAAATGCCATAAGTGTTGAGCGTGCCAATTCCATTTAATCCAGTAGCTCTTCTTCTGTGATACCATCTTGGAAGTAAACAGGCTGCTCTCCAGGAAGATGAATTGTTAGGTGCATAACTGCTGGGTACTCTTCATGCATGCTAAATTCAAAGAGGTGCCATACTGCCTCTGTTGGGCCAATATATCTTCCTTGTAAATACTGTTGTACCTCATCCTCATTGTTTCTCAACTCAATAGTACTCCGATCTGATCCTTTATAAATATATTTATGAATATATTTGATTGCCTGAATTGAAGCACAAACCTCTACATTAATATGTGCTTTATAGCGCCAGGAGAGATAGGGGTTATATGGTACAATCCATCGATTATCGAGAGTAATAGTTTCATTATTCCTGGTATCTTGTCGGCTGGAAATTGCAATTGATCTACCATCATTTCTTCTTCGGTAAACAGGGTATCCATCTTCTTGAACAGTTGTTGTAGGCTGAAATTTCTTAGGATAATTCTTACTGCATGTGAGTATACTACTACTATTTGGCTACATGCAAGGTGAGGTAGGAAAATGAGATCCACAGGGTCCATGTACCATTGAGGAGTTCACAATTGCTGCAATCTCACCATGTTGGTCTTGAGTAGCATCTGGTATTTCTGCACAAACAATTTCATCAATTTTTTCAGGTGTAAGAAATTGATCATCTTTATGTAGAAATAATAAAAGATGCATGTGTGGTAAACCACGTTTTTGATACTCAATTGTCCATACATAACCTAAAAACTGACCAAAAATATTTTGATGTCTTAACTCATATAGTAATTGACGTTGTTTTATATGAAAGACTCTTGCAACTAAGTCTGGTCGATCTACTGCAGATTGTCCTGGAAGTAGTGCATCTGTAATTTCTTTCCACTTTGGATTGGCTGTAAATGTGATAAAGAGTGTTGGACGTCCAAAGTGTCTCACAATAGCCATTGAATCTTGATACAATTGTTGCATGTATCTATCACCTCCAGTATAGCTACTGAGTAGGATTATACGCTGTCCTACCTGCTGTGCATTAAAGTCTTGAGCAATAAGACTATCAGTAAGTCCATTATAGATATCTGCTCTTAATTGAAACTGATGGTTACGAATCCACCCTAATTTATTTTGGTCACAGACTGACCAAGCATCCACTAAATATTGTTGAAATAGTCATTGAGAAAGAAAAAGAGTTTTGCACTCATGTTCTCTTAGGTATAAACGGTATCTTTTTAGTACATTAGTTATTAACTTGAATTAACCTTCAAATCTCTCAGAAGTACTATCTTACCTGTAAAAAACACGTTGATTTAATCTCAACTTCTTTCTAACCTGTCCTTGGTCTTGTATCTCTAGGCTCCAGTGCCAACCCAAATCTCCCTGAGAAAAAAGTAAAACATAGTGTAATGCCATATAGCTTGCATGATTTGGATTGATAGTACTGAAAGCACTTCCTGAATTTGCTAAGCGCTTAGCTAAGACTATATCTCGAAATCCTGGCTCTCCATACTCATTTGGAATAATAGCAGCAATTTCATTACTTGCAGGTAAATTCTCCCTTCTTTTGTCTGCACCTGTCTCCATAACTAATCGTAATTGTGGATTCAGAACTACTTGTGCCTCCACCCCACTATCTTCTATACTGTCTAATTGCTCCTTTGCAGTCTTGTATATATGTATATATGGATTTACTTGATGCAACTCATTTGTTAGAGCCAATAGTACTGAACTATCTAATCTTGGATGTGTTGACTGTCTGAGATCTGCTGCATATTGTGGATCGTAAAAATAAAGTTGTGCAAATGCTGGTATACTGCCAGGTTCTGGTTGTAAAGGACCTTGCAGATGATATAGTTCTCCATGAATTTGGAAGCATTGAATACCAGCTCCTTGTACTTGAAAGCGGTTATCAGGTTGATATTTGAGTGAAGTAAAGGTAAGAGCTGAATTGTATTCATGAATTTTAGAACGTAAAGTTT